ATAAAACAAGACACTCAATTAATGACACAACGACAAATGGTCAAATATGGAGGCATACAACAAATTAGTTGCTATGGCAACGGCATTTGTTTTTTTAAAGACAATTTGATCCTACCAGAGTACAACCCAATCAATTTTGAGTACTCTGATCCTTCAATAAATTTAATTTGTGGGATAAGAGTAAAGTATCAGCAAAAAAGCTGTAATTCGGAAAATTTTAGAGATGAATCAATGAATAAAAAAACAAAATGCTCGCAAAAGAAGCCTCTTTCGTATAGGGTGCAAGCACTTTGTATACCATTACTCAATTAACACCAGCGAAACATATCGCATGCCTTTCAAATTTTTTTGTCAATCTGTGAGATGTTTCTTGATAGCAGTTATATTTTAGAATGCCCAGGAACCCGTGAGGAGATCCATTTACGAACAGAAAATAGCTCCAAAAGGTCAGAAGCCTAATTTCATGTCGGTTCAAGAGGGGGTCAAGAGAGTCCGCAGGGGATTTTTCGGGTTCCATGCTGAGCTTTCTACGAGCTACAAGGTGGTGGCTGATACTTTCCAGGAACACGAGAAATGCGGATTGAAGGAGATCTCTTTCGTCAACTTAGTGGAACCATGGGTGCCAATGAGGAAGAAGTCTCCCTTCAAAGAATTTTTCAAAGTTGGGTGAGAGACAACTCCAGATTTTTATCTTCTCGTTTTTATGGATGAGAATATGAATATAATTTTATTATATTTGTTGTCAGGATGGATCTTGGTTTGTCCCATAATGTCATTAAAGACCTCAAAGAGAAATTCATATATAAGTTCAAGATATATCAAATTCTCGCTCAGCTTCAGATGTTTTGGGAATTAATCTTCTCTTGTTTTCAACAAAAACAATGGAAAATATTCAATTCTCAGATATTGACCTCTGTTTCCTTCCATTTACACTTCTCAGAGGAAGAAGTGACAGCAAAATTTGAGTTACAGAGTATTTTTGTATAATCGATCTTCAATATATTCAGCTAATTTTGATTCGTTGATGTATTTTATTTAATATTCCATCCTTATTATATGCATCTTTCGAAATGATCAAATATATTGAAGACAGCAAAATGCTTGAATTTAACTAAAAAAAATGCCAAAATAAAAAGAAAAAGTCTTCGTAAATTGAACAAGAATTGAAATTCCAAAATAGTCTGCTCACCACATTGAAATTTTATGACAGATGAACACAGTTATTTATCACCAACACGTTTAATGTTTTCGGATATGTCGGGAATGTATCATTTTTATTTCAGAATGAAGAAAATTTATGAGTCGGGAATACAGCGAAGGGAAATCAACCGCATCTACATGAAAAAACCTGTGTGCCATAGTAAAGGTAGCAATTTTGGCAGCGCTGGGCTTTTGGATTGTTACGCTGCCTTCATGATTTTTGGAATCGGTATTGGTTGCAGTGTCATATCATTCTTACTGGAAATTGTATTAAAAAAATATCATAAGAAATGCCATGTAAAGTTGCTGAAGGTTGAGCAAAAGGTTAATGAATCTTGAAAATAAATCAACATTATAATTATGGTTCTCTTTGAACTACCCAAGCACATTTCTGCAATAAACAGATATAGATACAGCACTCTAATTTGGATCAATCGCTCAATAAATGATATATTGCTTGACATTTCCTGTGTTTTATTTATGACGATATCTCAGACTGATGATATACAGTTCTCAACACACTAAATGGACCACTCATAATTTGACTCTATTTCGAAGACTTGTATTTTTTGAAAAAATTCACCGATCTTCATTCTTCATGCAGTTTTCGATATCAGATGTGATATTTCATCGGCTTCAGAGAGAGCTAGAACACTCTAAAAAAGTCAGCAGAACAGAACTTACACAGGGTGTAAAGTGGAATCCTTACACTATGGTCTACATTTCCAATGCTGCCAGAACTCGAGAAATTTTTTTCTGATCAAAAGTCAGTCATATTATGATGCACTGGGACCTCATCTCGGGGCATTTCCGTGATTTCTCCTCAATTGGCCGTTGGAACAAAAATTCGATTTTTTTTCGAAAGTCTTGCATTTCTTGAATTTTTTCTCTAGAACTCCACTTGAGCTGACTATTGGGAAGAACTATTCTCATGTTTTGTGGAGGACAATGAAAGACGAAAAAAGCACTTTTTTGGAATACACAGGATGATAAGAAAATAAGACAAAATCTCATTTCAGCAAAAAAATCAAAAAACGTGACTAAAACTATGGCCCATTCGATCCAGTATATTCAGAAACGGCCTTCTCGATATCCATCATTTATATAAGACTATTGACTCGAGACGTTTTGGAAAATTCGCCTCTAATTGAAATACAGGATGAACATTTTCAATTCAAACTTGTTTCCTGATATCGATGATTTCCAATATTTATTGCCCAAGTATGAGACACAGAGTATTGTTGTTCAATATACTGAGTGTTTCACAATTTATCTGACAAATTTCAACCACAACTACGATATTACATAACAGGTCTATCACAAAATAAAATTACAGAAGTAAAACGAGATGGAAAATGAAAGTTGTAACACTTTATATCCATTGAAACTATACGAAAAGGTATGACATTAGTGAATTCTTCAGCATTATGAAGATCCAACTAGAAAGTCCTATATCCTAAATTTCAGTACTTGCTTGGCCTCCCCGATTCAACAAAACCTCATGAAATCGGTTTGGCATAGATTCTATGAGGTTGTTGATGAAGTCAATTGATATTGCCTCCCATTCTTCTGACACAGCTTGGATAAGGTTGTCATTATTTTGGGGTGCCTCGCCTTCTCGATAGGTAAAGTTTCATTCAGCTCCACACATGTTCAATCAAATTCAGATCTGGAGATCATGCTGGTCAGCACATTCTTCTAACATTATTCTTTTGTAGAGTTCGTAATTTGTCAGATAATTTGTGAAACACTCACTATATTAAAAAACAATACTCTGTGTCTCATACTTGGTGCATTGAGAAGATGTCCCAAACTTGATATTAAAATTGCAAACATGATTCTCTACTCTCATATACTGAGTCGTATCAACTATTTAATAAATGTTTGGGGAACTCGTTCAAAGAACAATTTCAATAAAATATCAACATTATATAGAAAATCGTTAAAAGTATTGTATCGTCTCCCATTTGATACACCAACCAATCAATTGTTTGAAATAACAAATACGTATTCTTTAGATGAAATATATAGAATATATAGAAAAATATCATATAATATCATAAATAAAAAATTGAAGTCGAATTTTATGTTGATACCGAATTCTGAAATTCATAATCATGAAACAAGACAATATAACTTGTTTCATCTTGACGCCGCTAGCTCCATTATCGGACAAAAAAGATTCACTCATTCAGCCTTAACTGAATTCAATAAACTACCTGACAATATAAAAAATTGCAGAAATATAGGTTCATTCAAAAATGAAGTGAAAAAATTGATTATTTCTGAGCGAACTGGATGAAATTGAACATGCCATTTTTTTTACAAATATTATTCTTTGTTTGTCAATTCACAGTTGTTGATATATTTTGTATAATGATATGTTTACCTATAGGTATATATTCATGTACTTCCTTATACCAGAGCCTATTCTGTCTGGAAGTTATTTGTTCTATAAATAAATAAAATAAAAAAATAAATAAATAAATAAATAAATAAACATTCATTCATTCATTCATAATAATCATCGATATCAGGAAACAAGTTTGAGTTGAAAATTTTTATCCTGTATTTATATTAGAGAAGAAATTTCAAAAACGTCTTGAGTCAATAGTCTAATATAAATAATGGATATCGAGAAGGCCGTTTCTGAATATATTGAATCGAATGGGCCATGGCTTTAGTCACCAATTTTTTTTTTTTTTTACTGAAATGAGATATGGTCCTTTTTTCTTATCATCCTGTATATTCCAAAAAAGTGCTTTCTTTGTCTTTGATTGTCCTCCACAAAACTTGAGAATAATTCTTCCCAATGGTCAGCTCAAGTGGAGTTCTAGAGGAAAAAATCAAGAAATACAAGACTTTCGAAAAAAAGTCGAATTATTGTTCCAATAGAGAAATCACGAAAACGTCCCAAGATGAGGTCCCAGTGTATCATAATATGACTGACTTTTGATCAGAAAGAAATTTTTCTCCGATTGGCAGCAAATATTGATTTTACTGACACATATCAATCAGCAAAGTATTATTATTATATCAGCAAAATTAATAATCCATAAATCGTTTATAATTTCCTTCATATTTCATCCGAGACTTCTCCGGCAACAAATTCAACTCTATATTTTTTGCCACCTCCCTCATTTCTGGAGGTGTAAGTACTTCCAGGTCGCTATCACTGTCCATTATATAATAATTCAAATACTCCGATATTTTCTCGCACAACTGCCAGAAATTTCATGAATTGTCAAACTATAATTATTATGGACATTTCCATAGCAACCAACCATTTCAACAACTGCGATTTCTATCAAATTTTATTTCAATTGAACATTACAGGTGAAATAAAGAGATATATATCATTATGAACAATCGGAGAAAAATTTATATGTTCAACTCGGCAGCAAAGTAGATTGACTGCCGAGGCTGAATTCATAGCCGAGCGTAGCGAGTTAAACAAATAACTATTCTCGAGTTCTGACAGCATTGGAAATGTAGACCATAGTGTAATGGTTCCACTTTACACCCTGTGTAAGTTTTGTTCTGCGGACTTTTTCAGAGTGTTCCACTTCCCTTTGAAGCCGATGAAATATCACATCTGTTATCGAAAACCGGATGAAAAACGTTCAATTTTTTCAAAAAATACAGGTCTCCGAAAAAGAGGCAAATTATGAGTGGTCCATTTAGTGTGTTGAGAACTGTATATCCAAAGTATATGGATGCCATTGTGGGTTACTCTGTATACTAACTATACTTATACCAGATATAAGTTACCTACTCCAAATTTTGACAAAGTCAAATACATGATGTCAAATGCTAAAATAATATTATTTTCCTAAAAAATTTGACTTTTGTATTCTTTTTTTTTGTATATTTATTTTTTCATATTGAATTACCACAAGATCATCGAGAAAAATCAATATGGCTGAAAGTTCCACAGTGATCAGTTTGCCACAAATGTGCGATCTAGCTCTTAACACACCAGAAGTGAGTACCAATACGAAAAACATGAGAAAAACTCTTCTTCGTTCTTATCGTAGGTCGGTATAGTTAATTTCACAGTACTGCATTCCCTTTTGCATGTTATAATCAATCAAATTGGCATGACGGACACTAACGTCGAATTCAGAGGAACGGATAGTGAACGTATTCAATCTTTCATTTCTTCTTCCAAACCTGGAAATGCCCTTACTCTAACTCAATATACCGTAGAAGATGGCGGCACTGATGGAAAAATGAGAGATAAGAAGAGAGTTAGCATAGGTGAGTGTTTTGTACCTACTCTTGGTTAGGAAACATACATTCCATAACGGAAATGTACATAAAGCTAGCATCAAAAATCAAAATAGACGGGATTGAAGGTTCTTTCAAAAAGCTATAACCACTCAGTTTTGAATGTATATGGACAGAACTTCCAGGAAGCACTGTATGTTGAAAAAAAATTATCAAATAATCTTATTTTTGAGACGACCATTATTTTTACTGGTTGAGTTTCACCACCAAAAGTACTTTAGAACTACGAAATTTGCAGAAGAAAAAGGAGCAACAGATCAACATCAAAAAGAGAAGAACGAAAAGAAGACCAAGGCTGATGCTAAACCTATCAAGAAAGAACCAAGAGGTTCAAAGGATCTAAGTGAGTATTTAATAATTATCAGACTAATTGGAGAATTCAAATTTCAACAGCATCAACAAAACAATTCACGTACATGATTTTTTCTCCTAAGATTCTGTATCTCCAAGAAATTATCTCTGCTATGATTCGTTTCGATATACAAGGTGGTTTCCTAGAGCAATGTACCATAAATTCTACAGGGTGAGCTAGAGACCAAAGTGTTACTTTCCTCCTTCTCTACTCAGATGGCGTTGCTTACATATCGCCTATGGAGGACCCCTCTGAGGAAATATAATGCCGACTTAATTTTTGTTTGTCTAGGCTACGCTTAGTCGGCGATCATAACATAAGACTGCTGGCTGGAGACTGCCCTGCACTGATGAGAGTCAAAGAACTCGAAACCGGTCTGTAGGTAGTGTAGGTGTCTAGAACTCCCATTTCTTCCCACGAAACTGAGAACTCACGGCGTAGGCAGGTCAATTTCTATTCGTGTGCTCCAAGAGTTGAAAAAAAATCACTGGCAATACCAGTCAGATGAACTCGACCAGCTCAGTCAGCACATCCTCTTGTTGTTGACCTCGAAATATGACGAACAGTACTACTTTATCAACATTCGTTCTTCTATAGAATGGCAGAGATCTGGAATTCATTGCCTGAAGAAGAATTTGCAAGAACTTATAGCCCCAAAAATTGAAAAAAAAAGTGATAAATACATACCGCCACTTCCTATCCTCCTTAAGTACGCACGATGTTCTTCGAACATTATAGGGTTTTCTTTTCGAATACATGTGATTATTCATCCTGTTGGTTTTCCGACAAAATATAATATGACTATAGGAACTTGATATCCCATAATATCACTCAAAGATATCTCAGTTCAATTGGAATGATGTGTTTCAGGCTCTGATAAGGATTCCAGTAAATCGACCATCGTCCTGGTACAATCTTCTAAAGGACAACTACCCACAGCACAATTCACAGTGGCTCTTACCAAAGAGGATTTTGACAAGATGTTAGATGACATGGAAAAATTGGAAAATCGAATAAAAGAACTGGAAGAGCTGCCAGCAAATTCCAAACTCATGGAAGCTTTGATGTGAGTAACAAGGGCGTTGATATGGCAAGGGGAGGGTCTTCTTCTTCCTTGTTTCACATCGTCGGGCTTTTTCTGCCACTGAGGCTGATCACCGACGCCGGTGAGCACACTTCCCCCAACCGGAAATTTTTGCCGAATCCTCTGGTGTTCCGACCAGAAGTAGGGATCTTCAACGAGTCCAACATCCATGGCCTCAGGACCGCCGGCTCAACGTCCTCTCCGAAGGACGGCATATCCGTACCATATCTTGTGCTTATTGATATGTTAGCTGTAGCTATGATATGCTATTTTGCTACAGATATTCATATTCAGTCATTTTTGAAAGCAGATATTTGATTTTTGGTACTGACGTAGACCATCATGGTACGTACTGGAAATACCGGAAGAGGTTATGATTGAAAAAGTTGCATAGAAATATATTTTGAACCTTCATACCGAATTTCAACGCAAAATTCAAATCTAGAATTTTTTTAATTTTGATTTTCTTTCGATTTTCTAATAATAATAATAACACTCAATTATCCCAAGAAACATACAATGTTCATGAAGGGATACAAACAATGGTAATTGATAAATCGAATATGCAAAATGAAAGATAAACAGTTCATCATAATTAATTGATACAAGGAGAGAGTTGAATTGATAAAATATATTTCTTCAGTTCACTCTTGAATTTTGTCACGAACCTATAATAGATTTTTTTCTACTCACATAACTAAAATGGCATTTAGCGTACGGATATGTACCACGCTGAATGATCGATTAATTACGGATTGACGATCAGTGATTTATTCATTACCATGGCAACACGATCTCTTAAACATATTTCCATGGCAACACAGTTCAATTAACACAGCTTCAGTAATTTGAGACATGTCTGACTTGTCAATTGTAGGAACTGTCGTCAACTGTCATTTTCAAAGTTTGTATCAGAATTATTCAAACAATATTCGTTTGTATCAGAATTCTTCATTCTATGCGAAGATATATGCGAAATGTGGACAAAAGTGAAATCCAATAGAATGTTTTGGTACTTGCATATCTCCAAGAAGTGTAAAAATGAAGCATCCATCTTTGACAACAATTTATTTATTCTGCACTAAGCATGACAATAAACGTGAAACAAAGGTTAGTAAGCAATGGACTGGACACATCTACAACCAATATCACTTATATACGTGTCTCGCTGGTTGCATGCAGTTGCATGTATTATGTTCTCAATTCCCATTCCTTCCGAATTATTTTGTAGGTAAGCAGGAATAGCAAGTATGTAAATGTAATTTTCGGAGTTCGTAGAAAAAGCATAGTATGTAACGCGTTTATAAACTCTTCTAGACACTCGTTTATTAAACACTCGCTCCGCTATGCTCCGCTCGTGCCTAAAATACTCGTTACTAAAAGGACGTTTAGAACACTTGTTACATGATATACTATTTTCTAGTGACATAACTAAAATGGCATTTAGCGTACGGATATGTACCACGCTAAGTGATCGATTAATCACGGATTGACGATCTGTGATTTATTCAAAATATTGAACACGTTACCATGGCAACACGATTTCTCAAACACATTACCATGGCAACACAGTTCATTGAACACAGCTTCAGTAACAGTCTATCAACTGTTATTTTCGAATTTTGTATCAGAATTATTCAAACAATATTCGTTTGTATCAGAATTCTTCATCGAAAATATATGCGAATTGTAGACGAAAGTAAAATCGAAGAGAATGATCTGGTACTTGCATATCTCCAAGAAGTATTAAAATGAAGCATCCATCTTTGAGAACAATTTATTTATTCTGCGCTAACCATGACGATAAACGTGAAACAAAGGTTAGGAAGCAATGGACTGGACACATCTACAACCAATATCACTTATACGTGTCTCGCTAGTTGCATGCAGTTATTGCATGTATTATGTTCTCAATTCCCATTCCTTTCGAATTATTTTGTACGTTAGCTGGAATAGCAGGTATGTCAATGTAATTTTCGGAGTTCGTAGAAAAAGCATAGTATGTAACGCGTTTATAAACTCTTCTAAACACTCGTTTATTAAACACTCGCTCCGCTCTGCTCCGCTCGTGCTTAAAATACTCGTTACTAAATGGTCGTTTATAACACTTGTTACATTATATACTATTATTCTGTTGGGTAGACTATTATTAATATTCATTCCACAAAAATACAATGAGTTTTTTCCGAATTGGGTTTCTATTTTGACAGTTTTCAAATGTTCATTTTGTAAAGTGTGATACTCATGGGTATCAGAATTGATATTGAAAGTAAGATTCGAGTGCTTTTTCCTATTTTTATTTTAGTGAAATGGATGAAAATGCATACTTTCATTTTTTAGAGAGAGTCAATATCTAGCAGATCTCGATTTGTATTATCAAAATCATTCCAGAAATGGTAGTTTATGAATACCTTTTATGGCTTTATTTCGAAGAAATTTCAGAGGTTTCAATCAGATTTGGCTCCAGTGCCCTAGATCGATATAGTAGAGCAGTTGGAGGAATTGGCGTGGAAATAATTTCCACAAAAACGCAGTTTTCATTTTCTGAAGCCCCATTCGACCCCTTACACTATATTAAAAATATAGATGCATTCTTTCTTGCAAAAATGTTTCAATGACAGCTAAAGGTGTCCAAGGAATTTTAAGTGCTAGCAAGTAGCAGCAAGACAAAATAATTGAACTCTTAGAACCAGTGCCTATTCATCCTCTAATTGTTCACGTCGAATGTCGTCGTTTGTACGTAAATCCGAACAAGATGAAGATTGATCTCAGGTTCAAATCAGATCCTGATAGAGCAGCATCAACTAGTAGCAGCAGCAGCAGCAGCAGCAACAGAGCTTTGTGATCTGAGCTGCCGACATTCGCATTCAAAGATAATTGCTTGTTTTGTAGCCAATTCATCAAGGAAACTGAGAAAATAATTAAATCTGCAATTTTACCAGTACGAACTTTCGCGTTTCGACAAACTATTATTGATGTGTCTGATGCAGGAAACGATTTTTGATCATCAAATGTCCTTGCACGATTTGTTTCCATTATCGATACTTGCCAGCGGCAGATGCTCTGTATAATCAGAAATGTAGTGTGAATTTTGGAAAAGGCGACTCTATTCCTAAGAAACATCAACATAATATTCAATGAACAGACAAAGTTAAACAGACAAAAATAAAGAAGAATCCTTTTAAGAAATATGCAGGTGGCTCAAGAAAAATGATGAACCAATTTCAGTTCAGGAGTTGCTGGACAAAATGGCAGAGCTGCTGCCAGAAAATATCGAACCTCACACTGTTCGTCGTATGCATAAAAAAATAGAAGAATATTTCTCGGATGACATTATTATATTGAGACAAAAAGGTAGAGCTAATATGATCGTAACAGGAAAAACAGTTGCCAATATAATTTGTGATTATCAGCGACAAAAGTGTTTAGAAGATCCAGATGCTGAAAAATTTCGGATAGTTGAAGCAACAGCTAAAGAAATAAGTTCCGAGCAGGAAAGTAATAAACTTTTACCCGACATTTTGAGAACATTCTTGGATAATAATCAACAAAAAATCCTCAAGTCTAAGGAAAAATTCAATTGAACAGGCACTAATGCAAGCGGCATGGCCACGATCTATCATAAGTTCAATTCGTCTAGGTGTTGGTGTGTATAGTATCATCGAGATTTTCGAACACTGTTATTTGTCGATGAACTTCATAAGCTGGTTTTCTGTATCATATGATGACGTACGGAAGATCTTGCAAAACTGAAGTAGATGGACCTTGTGGAACCAGATGTAAATGTCGACGATACGGAATTTTTTGCACAGTATTGTGCAATTATTGTTCGTAAAGGTGCCAATATTTCAATCGAGGAAGTTGAAGATAATGAACGAACTTCTGTTACATGCCAAATATGCCATTTTTATTAGGTTCATGATTTATATGTATTAACGAATAAACGAATATTGGAAACACTGTATTTTCATTTTGCACAAAGGTATCATTCTATATTTTCTAATATGTGTTATTCTATGCATTCTGAACTGGGAAAAGCAAAAAAAAATAGTGGGAATTATTTCCACCTGAGACCATTTCTTATCGCATATCTACTACACTATTATCAGATACTGCAATTCAGAGTAAATCAAAATGAAATAAATTAATTCCAAGTATTCAAGAAGTATAAAAGATCCCAATTTGTATAATATACTGACAATGGAAAATATTTTTTCCTGAGCATTTGAATATGCGATGACCAAGATAGAGACTGGTCTATGGTTGAATCTGAGAGGAGAGAGGTATTTTTTGAATGATTTTCACAAAATTTCCCAAATTTCGAAGGATCTATTTGGTTATCAGATATATCTCTTTTCGAGATGAACATGAAAGAATATTTATCGAAATTGATTGTCAATTTATGATCTTGTATCCATAATGTAATTGAAGCAAGAAGGTCTTTCCAAACCAAAAGTAAACTTTTCCTCTAAATCCTTATCGAGTTAATTTTAGTTACTAATGTTTCTGAATCAAAGGCAATAGAAACGATGAAATAGCCTGAATCAATGAAATAAGTGATTAAAATAACTAAAATTGTGAATTATCATTTTATCGAATTTGAATCAATCGAATTCAGACTTCCCTTACTAGCCCATCTCTCAAAATTCAGGATGCGAGTTTCGCGTCCAAATTCGGTATGTGGGGTCGAAATCGGTTGCCAAACAACTTTTTCGAATTACTTTTTTTGGTATCTCCAACGAGAAGCAAAATATCACGAATGTGTCTTTCTCACTCATGCTGAATATTGCGAAGTGCGGCCCATGAAGGTCTACGTCTATACCAAAAATCGAATCGCTGATTTCAGAAAATGACTGCTGAAAAACAGTGATGACTTCATTTTAGGTGTGTATCAACACTGTATATTATTTACGCATTTTTAAGACATGATCTTTTTTTCACAACCTGAACCAAGAATCCATCACCTCTCCTGAGAAAAAACATTATCGACACCCCTGGTGCTGAGTAATCATATAATTCATAGATATACTGATGAGAATAGTATATTGTTCAACTAGCAGGCAATGACATTGATTTCCTACGAGTAGGTATGTAGTTAGCAGCATGCGTCGAATGCGTCTACTTCTTCATTTTATGTGAAAATTAGTACATAATATACAGGGTGGCCCACGGTCGATGGTACCTTAGACGTATACGGAAAACGGTACATTGGATTATCCTGAAAATTCGGGTACTCTAATAAGCGTTTGTGATCCAACGATTCAAAATATTTTCTGCGATGCAGCGTTGCCACTTTTACCAAAAAGTGGCATCATCTTTGTTATTTCAAATGGAACACCCTGTATTTCATTGCGTTTTCAGATTCTCCTCAAAGAGCTGATTTCATCAATGCATCACACTTGGGGTCGAGCAAGAATTAATCCAGAGATATAAGGTGTTCAAAATCGAGATTTTTCAACTTCAGGAATTTTTGTGTCGAAACTATTCATTATCGATCAAAACGGCTCACATGTCCCTATCTCAACTTTTGATTCACTATCTACTGACATTTAATTGGAACAGATACAGGGTGATCAAAATTCTGAATCTTGGACCATCCTGTATTTTTTCCAATTAAATATCGGTAGATAGTTAATCAAAAGTTAATATAGGGACATGTGAGCCGTTTTGACCAATGATGAATAGTTTCGACACAAAAAAATCCTAAAGTTGAAAAATCTCGATTTTGAACACCCTATATCTCTGTAATAATTCCTGCTAAACCCCAAGTGTGATACATTTATGAAATCAGCTCTTCGAGAAGAATCTAAAATCGCAATGAAATACAGGATGTTCCATTTGAAATAACAAAGATGATGCTACTTTTTGGTAAAAGTGGCAACGCTGCTTCGCTGAAAATATTTTGAATCGTTAGATCACAAACGCTAATTAGAGTAACCAAATTTTCAGGATAATCCAATGTACCATTTTCTGTATACGTCTAAGGTACCATCGACCGTGGGCCACCCTGTATACATTATACACGTTACTATGGAATAGTCGTTCATATATAGTATTTTTCGAATTTGAATTACATAAAATATATTTATTGAAGGACTGAAGACGGTGAGAAGACACCGGTATTAGATATGTTCCAGATACTGGCTCTTCAGAAGAAAATGGATGCTGCTGAGAAGGGAATAGAAAAATTAGCTTCTATCATTGAGGGAGTAGCAAGAGGTAACTGCCACCAATAAAATATCAATATTTCGAAAACGATTACAATTTTTTCTGACTAGGCGATAAATTAGGGGTGTAACTCCTGGAAACTGAAAATGAGTTGGCTGACAGCTTATAGGTTCGCTGCTGACGATGAAGTGCCATTTTTCTGAATAAATGTATATTCAATAGGTGTCTGAGGAAGAATTGAATATTGGTTCACACATCATTTGACAAATAGAAAGCAGTATGTTGAACTGAATGATACTTGTGGGTCACAAATGAATATCATATGTGGAGTACCGCAAGGATCAGTTTTGGAACCAATTCTATTCTCAATTGATATTGATTTATTATCAACTCTCCCTTTCAAATTCCAGCTATACCTAACCTCATTATACACAATTTATATGATCATAAGAGCTTGTCGCGATGATCGATATTTAATAAAGAACAACAACATTCTGAGTTAATAGTTAGAATTTGAAAATAAAATTTTATGTCCTTCTTTTCAAAGCTTTCAAATTAAAGCTTTTCCAATTCTTCCACTTTCGATTCATTATTTACTTTTTAGTTATCGCTGGCTAGGATTCTCAGTATGACGTCCATTTCGCCAAAGTCAAAGTTCATCAATCGATGGTACAGGCTTAAAAATCGATTCTTTTAGGCCTGCATTTTTATTCTCAACCCTTCAACTTTCATAGGAAATCACAAAAAATTTTCATTTGATAGATACCCATATCGCAGAAGTGCATAAATAACTGAAATAAATAAATAAGAATGAATATTCGATCAGGTTCTAAGATTGAAATAACGGATGCTGAATTGTCTAACGTGTCGAGAAGACAATCGCAAGATTCACCTAGTCTAGCACAACTGGAGGAACGTGTAAAGAAATTGGAGAAGGCTGTGAAACAAGGACCAGTACGCGCCAGCGGATCAGAATCAGGTCCTGAAACTGGAAACGAGTCATCAACTAGAGAATCAGCTGTGAAAGGTTAAATGATTTTTTGTTCAAGTGTACTAGGTGGCCATGAGAACATAACATCTTATTTTGCATTCACTGATATGATTATGCTTCTCGAATTACACGCGGTGTCGCCAGAAATGACCATAACTTTTTATTTTCAAATGACAGACAGACTAGCCAAGATCGGTTCAGGAACGACACCCATTCTACCAGAGCCGATATTGGGAATACCCATTAGTACGGCTATGTCCTTCATGAAGGAAATGCTACAGAGGCAGTTCCTTGAAACATGGCGGGACACACCAGGAATGAGACAATCAAAGCTCCATATAAAGGAACCTTCAAAAAGGCTCACGAGAGAGACCCTGTCACTTAATAGAAGGGATCTCAAGATGGTAGTTGGTCTCTTAACTGGGCACAACCACCTCAACAGGCACCTAGAACTCATAGGGATCAAAGATGATCCCATCTGCAGATGGTGCTTGGAGGATGATGAAACATCATCACACATACTCACTGAATGCCCCGCGCTGGTGCATCAGAGGAAAGCTGCCTTTGGGAGCATTGTACTGCACCCAAAGGATGTGAAAGTGACTCAGCTGAGGAAGCTGCTGAAGATATCGGCATGCCCAGCTGATTCACAGAACAAATGGGCGCACAATGGACCCGACTGAAGAGGCCTGAGTGTAGGGGTCTACGCACCCGCCCACCTGTGCAGAGAAGAAGAAGAAGATGACACACCCTGTATATTTTCACATTTTTGAATTTAGGAAATCATTTTACATACAGTTGTATAATTTCCGGGTGAGTTTTAAAGCGTCGATTTTATATTTGCATTTTGGAATCGTATCTAGATGGCTGCGTTACTGCCATGCATACATTGTTTTTGTCATTTCTGCTGAAACCGTGAGTAATATGAAATGTGTTTCTATTGTATAAGTGAATGAGAAATAGGATGTTATTTGAACAAATTTAATAATTGAAAGTCAAGTGATTCAGAAGTTACAGGTGCGACTTGGTTCTCATGACCACCGTGTATTCGGCAATTCCAACAATTCATTAGGTACCTACGTAACATTACAGTGTATATTATCGATATGAACAATACTCATAGCTCCATAATGGATATTGAATGTGGTGTCCCACAAGGTCCAGTTTTGGGACCACTTTCATCTTTATTGTACCTATACATAAATTCAATATCAACTTTGGACTTGCGAAGGAAAGATAGAATAATACTAAAATATTCCTCATGTTGACCAACATATTTTGAGAAAATACTTGACAGAGATAGATGGTTTTTGCAATTTTATTTTATGTTCATGAAGTTTGTGAAATGATTTCAGGTGCTGCTATGGTAGTCGATGATGCCGATCTAGAAAGGTGAGTATAGGTATATACAGGGTGGAGTTCTCATACAAAATTATCTTCACATATAAAATTAATTGTGTTTTTGTAGTCATCTGATATAAAGCTTGCAAAAAAAAAAGTGCGAAAACTCATCTGAATCTCGTCTCACGACGTCGAACGTTCGTTTGACTGTATTGCATGCGGAGAAGTATCACATTGCGCACTTATTAGGAATATAGCTATTATGTATATACATATTTATATCGGAGGGTATACAGGATGTCCCTGAATAGTCTTCAGAAAAACTTCGATATAAGCAAACTTACCTCAGTACAAATTTGCTTAGTGTGGAAGGAGAAGTTACAATTTCCAAATTGTTTTTGCTTCATAACTTTGAAAAGGCTCATGATACTTTACCTTAATTCGGTACATTGGCATAGCTTCCTTGGGCAATAAATTCTTCATCATTTCTATGATGAATATCATATCAAAGGACTAGAACTTGATTTTTTTCAGTAGATTAACATCCAGAACTCCTAACCCAATATACCGAATTCAAGTTTTTTTTTATGTTCTGGTTCCCACGAAGAGGAATATCCTGTAATGTTCAGAGAACATCGTGAGAACCAAGGGAAATAAGGTAGGAATTGGTGTTCTTCTAGAATTTCTGAAGGTTATATGCCTCCGGGAACATCTCCCTTGGCAATGTGTTCCAGAGCCTTGCTGTTCGTTGGATGAACGAGTCTTTGGAAAGAGATGTTCTGCAGATCTCCAAAGTGACCACGAAGGGGTGCGAAGCCTCAACTCGACGGGTTGATCTCGCGGGGACTCCGAAGGGAGGAACAATTGTTGATATTTCAGAAGAGCATCGTCCATGAAAATATCTATAAAATAGAGCGAGATCGCCAACTTTTCTACAGTGTTCCAGAGAAGTGAGTGAGTTTGTGAGCGAGGCATCACCCACGAGACGAATTGCTCTTTTTTGGACAGAATCCTACAGTTTGAGGGTATGTTTGGATGCTGCACTCCAAATATGGGAACAGTATTCCAGGACAGGTCGGATCTGTGCCTTATAGATCATAAGCAGCTGACTGGAAGTGAAATAGCTCCTGGCCCGAAATAAAAAACCAAGTTTTTGGGATGCACTTTCAGCAATTGATATCACGTGATTTTCCCAAGAAATGTTATTGCTGATAGCATAGATCTGATAGTAATACCAAGCATCGAAATGGATGTCTTCAAAGGTATGGTTACTCCTGACTAGTTTATGTTGGGCACAGTGAGATCGGCTTTTCTAGAGAAAAGGCATGCTTGTGTTTTGTTTGCATTGAAATCTACCAAGTTATTGGATCCCAATTCGAGAATTGTTGCCAAGTCTATATTTATGTTGTCAACATTTCTCCCTCGTTTGTTTCTGATTTGCCTGGCTGGTATCGGAGCCCTGGAAGAGAAGGCGGTATGGAGGGTACTATCATCCGCGAAGCTGTCTACTGGACATGAAGTTGCTTCCAACAAATCGTTGATATGGAGTAGAAATAGTGTTGGTGCTAGAATTGATCCTTGCAGAATACCAGCATCCATGATAAGAGAGTCAGATGAAACTTCGTCGACCACTACATGGAGAGCTGTTTGAGAGAGAACTAGCTAGCAGAGAACATAGCTGGGGAGTCATGCCATGAGATGGAAGCTTGGCGAGGAGACCGTGGTGCCAGACTCGATCGAATGCCTTGGAGATATCAAGTGCCACGACTAAGGGTTCACCATATTTTTCAATAGATTGCTGCCATATATGTGGGACGTAAGCGAGCAGGTCACCAGTTGATCTCTTAGGACGGAAGCCATATTGCCTATCGTTGATAATGCCTGAATGTTCCAGGTAGTTCGTGAGCTCGATGTTGATAGCTTTTTCCATGATCTTTGAAATAAAAGGTAGCAGTGCGAGGTCTGTAGTTGCTAGGTAGGGTCCTTTTGCCATTTTTGGGAACTGGTTGTACTCTTGCAATTTTTCAGTTGGATGGGAATATCCCCCATTGGTAAGAGTAGTTGAACAACTTGCAGAGAACAGGTGTTAGTTCGGGAGCACATTTCTTGAGAACAATCGGTGAGATTCCGTCGGGGCCACAAGCTTTGTTGGTGTTGAGACCCAATAAAATATTCCTTATAGTAGGTTGGCGGAAGGTGATCTCAGGTATATGACTGTCAATTGGCGTTATGTTTGGAGATTATTTTCCCAATGAATCCAGAGTGGGAATTTCAGCAAATGAATGCGTGAAATCTCATGAGCCGTTTCGAAGATATGGAGCAAAAACTATTTGGAAATTGTTACTAAGCAACTTTGTAATGAGGTAGCGTTGCTTGTATCGAATTGATTTGGTCTGAGGAATATGTGGTGAGATTTTGTGAAGAACTTTTAGGGACACCTTGTATAATATTTTCATGAAATCTTTAAGTCGTTAGGAATTATTGGAGAAATAAATTACTCCTCCTTGGGGAAATATAATACACCAGAAACTAACAAAATCAATTGGTTTTTCAAAGGGTTGATATATCGCATATTCCGGTTGATCAAGCTCTCGAAATGCTGAAAGATGAACTCTTGTCCATGAAGAATCAAATAATGGTTTTCCCACAAATCGTTAAACAGATTGAAGAATTTGAGAAGATTCTTTCAGGTAAGATGATATTATTCACAGGGTGGTTAACTTGAATTAATTAATCAAAAAATAAATCAGGAAGTCATTTTGCATTTTTTTCACACAATTCACGGAAATTGAAAATATGATATGTTATAATTCCAGACCAACTCTGGATATTCCAGTCCTATTTCGTACCATATGAGCGCGGATAACTTTGAAATGTTACATTGAACTATTACCGAAATTTATACTTCTTCAAAATAAATGTCTCCAACTATGTAAAGACTTCACTAACGATGAGATTTACACAAAATTACTAATCACACGACATGTTTCGCTAACACAGCAACCTCATCAGGTGAAATACTGGTATAATTAATTAGACCAACCTTGACTTGCTTAACTTTTATACAGGGTGGGGCATTAGTGCGTCGGAGCACGATTGCTCGAGTTCTATGATACCTAGAAACCTGATTCAAAAACGAATGTGAATGAGATAACAAGGTCCATAATTAGAAATTATTGACGCATATACAGGGCGCACAGAAAATAATCTAGAGGGTCGGGATCAATTTTTTTAATTGAAATGCCCAGTATATTTGCATATTTTTTGAAGCATCCCTGTGATCTTCATCCACTCCTATAATATCGTTGACTATATCTCTTTCGTATCGAAGTTATGAATTTTTTTGGTCGAAATAATGTCATCTGCAGATGCCTACCGAAAATATCACTGTTGTCACAATTATAAACTTCATGAAAAAATAATCTCAATATCATTTATTGAAAAGATGAGTGACATTTCTGAAGATGTTTCAGGCTCTCAAATGATACAGGGCGGCTGAGAATGATTTTTCAATTCGGAACTTTTCTAGGTTTCTAGCTATCATAGATATCGAGCAGTCGAGCTTCGACGCACTAATGCCCAACCCTGTATATCCCACTTTTCCAACTTGAAGGATTAGTTACCTGTGGTAAGGGTAGCAAAGGTGAACATATACATAGATTCTTTTTTGTCCACCCTGTATAGCTTATCCTGATGGCGAAATTTATTCTGCTATGTGACTGAAACGGTACAAAAATTTCGAAATGTTACATACTGTGGTTATCCAGTAATAGCTGTCCTGAACGGAGTACCTACTCAAATTAGCATTTACTTCAAAATTTGAAGTTTGATCTCGTTTTTTCGTTTTTTCTCGAAATCCAAGCGTCCTGTCGGGTATCAACAACAACATTTTATGAAATGAAAATATATTCCTTCGTTGCTCACTTCCAAGTATAATGTAATCAATCATATTCCCCTAACGGCGCCACTGGTAGAGGAAAGAAAAATTTTTAATCATCAAAAAATGCACCTTGGTGCATAGAAGATATGTACCAGATTTCATAAAGATGACTATATACAATATTATTCCAGTTATTATTAAAAAACTGTTTTTTTTTTCAAAACTTCATCACACTGTATCTCGAAAAATAAGACTTCTCAATGAATCACCCTGTATTTGATGACTAAATTTTGGTGACACTATTGAAGCTGGATCAGAGGACCAGCCTGTGGAGGTGAGACTCAAACTTCTGGAAGCCAAGTTCGAGGAAATTCTGGAACAAATCGATTCCCTGGATAACGGCTTCAGTAGGCAAGTCAACAACCTGCAGAATCACATAAACGGTTTGGACAAAAACATGGGCGAAATCTTGGAAAAAGTCCATCTGTACGTTGACATATCGTTTTTCACATTTCCAATTGTAAAGGAATTCGATATTTTTGAAGGTTACCTGACGATGGGAAAGGTGATAACAATATTACAGCCGAGCTTCATGGCCAACTTTCTGCTCTCGCGGATGACTTCATCAATGTCTCAGAGACTGTACAAAAACTTTCTGAAGAACATGATAGTAGACAACATGCTTTAGAGGTGAGAAAATCATGAAAATAATTGACTGTCTTCATTACCCCAAGAAACATTATTGTTTATAATAGGGATATACAGGGTGTTTCAAAAAAACCTAACCCCCTTGCTAAGGTAGGTAGAACATTGCAAAATAAGTTGGGTTTGCTCAGTGGAAAAATGTCGTAACGGCATCCGTTTTCATGATACAAGGTGTTGAACAAATTATTTTTTTTCACATTTTCCACGATTATTCCGACGAAACTACTGGCAACATTGTAATGAAATTTTGTATGGATGTTTATTGAAATCTGACACATCGCATGAATTTCTTTTAATATCTGACTCTCATAGAGGGCGCTAGTTACACGGTTCGTACCGAGTAGTTTTGAAGATAACTTTTTTGAGGTTAGATTTTTTAATCCAAATATGATATGAACTTGAACATCATTCAATTTTACACCAAAAAGGTACTTCTGGTGAAACTCGATACTATGTTCCGTTTTCGGAATATTTCGATTTGAAAATAATGGAGTAGTAATGATGCTGGTATAAAATGAATTTTATTGAGTTCAATTACCTATTAATTCAGGTTCAAAAACAATAAAATTATTCTTGTGCTGAAGATATTGATGGAACAAAGAATTATAAGTAGAAAATTGAGAGATATTTGACCAGAAACATGAAATATTGAATCAGTTAGAGTAAGTGTTCAAAATGTCCTACGTTTCGAGGAATACAAGATTCTATATTCTTTTTTAAGAATGTATCATTCTTATGAACAGTTGAGGATCAGCTCTGTTAGGTCATTTAAGTGATGTTCAATTATGTCTCACAACTCTTGACGTGAATTTACCTATGTAGCATAGACTTTCTGATCAAGATACAACAAAACTGTGTAATCCATGTTCTTAGTCAAATCTGTTTCGATGTTATTCTTGTGATTCATTGTTAAATCAATGAGTTTTGCATCATTAATGTATTGTTGTTCTCGGTTTTCAATAAATAGGTGATAATTTTTCATGAAACTCACTCTAATACATAGCTTTATACCAGCAACAGTTACCACTTCATCATTTTCAAATCAAAATATTCCGAAAACGGAACACAGTATCGAGTTTTACCTAGTGTGAAATTGAATGATGTTCAAGTTCACATCAAATTTGTATTGAAAAATCTAACCTCAAAAAATTATGTTCAAAACTACTCGGTACGAACCGTGTAACTAGCGCCCTCTATGAGAGTCAGATATAAAAACAAATGCTTGCGATGAGTCAGATTTTAAGAAATATCCATACAAAATTTCATCACAATGTTGCCAGTAGTTTCAACATAATCGTGAAAAATGTGTAAAAAAAATATTGTTTTAACACCTTGTATCTTGAAAACGGATGGCGTGACGATATTTATTTACTGAGCAAACCCAACTTATTTTGCAATGTTCTACCTACCCTAGCAAGGAGGTTAGTTTTTTTTTAATCACCCTGTATATACAAAAAAAACATACATATAACATAATAAATCGAAACAATAATAATTGCACAATTATTGTTTTTCATAAAAAAAATATAATAACATATGAAATGAACATATTATAATCTATTTCAAGTAATCAAATTGTGAATGATTAGTAGATATGGAATTGAAGTTTCCTGAGCAGATATTTCTTTAAATTGATTTTAAATTTTTCTGCTTCTTCTATATTTTTCAACTCATTAGATAAGGAGTTATATAGAATTGTTCTATTATGGAATATTGATTGTTTACCAAAATTTGACTTATAATTATTTGCTACCAATAAATTAAATTGCCCTGTTTCATGGGCGTGAATCGTATTACCTTTATTAAAATTCAATTTGATATTTTCAATTCCTTCCTGACAAAATGAATTAAACAGCAAATTTTGAGTTTATATAATGAAACTAGATTCAGCAAGTCTCTAGGTTTGTATAGATTCACAGTTGATTCTGAAAAAGGTGAATAGAGAATGCACTTTATTGTTTTATTTTGTAATTTCATGAGTGGCTTCAAACGTGGAATATTTGTACTTCCCCAAATAGATATTAGATATTGTAAATTTGAATGAAAAAGACAGAAATGAATACTCGTCAGGTATCTAACAGGAATGAGATTTCGAATTTTATATATAATACCAGCAATAGGGTTCAATTTATTCCTCAAATGATCTATATGTAGAGTCCACGATAAATTGTTCATCAATATAAAGACCTAAATATTTTGTTACATTTGTATATTCAATGGATTTGTTATTGAAACATATTGGGGTATTATTCAATATGTCTGTTGTTCTTCTCGAGATGTACATATACGTAGATTTACTATAATCAGAGTCAACCTATTGTTCGTTAGCCAAGATGATATTTGCTTCAAATCATTTTTAATATCAGATATCGATAAAATATTTTGAAGTATAGATTATTGTTGTATCATCTGCAAATAATTTTAGTTTCTCTTTCAATGTTAAAGTAGATAGATAGAGTTAATGTGAATTGAAAATAATATTGGCCCCAAAACTAACAAATATTTCCATATGTAACCAACTTATTGTAAGAAATCTCAAACCCGGCGAGCCTCTAGTGAAGGAGGATTTACATCACAGAAGTATTGAATTTAGCCTCGCTTTTTCTATTCTAAAAACTCTGCAGTCGAACTCCAAGTTTACTAAAAATTTCAGGAAAGGAGACTATAATTCTATAAATACGGAAATTTCAAATATTAATTGGGTGGATATTCTTGGAAATTGTGATGACGTGAATAATTGTTTGGATGTTTTTTACAAAGAAATATATCAGATAATAGATATCTTCGTGCCGAAAAAAAGAATTTTCAATCAGTTTCCAGTATATTTCACCCAAAACACCATAAAAATTATTATCGAAAAATCTAAAGCTCACAAAAAATATAAAAAGTCTTGTTCCCAGTTTGATTACCGACTCTTCTGTCAATTGCGGAATAGATCCAAGCAAATGATTCGAAATGACTTCAAAAACTTCGCGAACTCCGTACAAAACGACATACCGAATAATTCTAAAAAATTCTGGTACTTTGTTTCCAAAACTAACCAAAATAATAACATTCCTAATGATATGAAATTAGGTGATGAATTAGCAGATGGAGCAGATGTTTGCAAGCTCTTTTCAAAATTTTTCAAAAGTGTCTTTCAGCCTTACGAACAAACAATGTACTCACACACAATAAATAATACCTGCTCGATAAGTAAAATAACAGTGTCCGTAGAACAAATCAAAAACACTCTTTCAGCATTAGATGAAAACAAAGGCAACGGCCCAGACGGATTACCATCATTTTTCATAAAAAAATGTGCACCAAGTATCTGTGTGCCGTTAACAATAATCATTAATAAATCTTTCGAGGAATGCACGTTCCCAGAGAGATGGAAAGCTGCTTATGTAGTACCTATTTTTAAAAATGGTAATAGAAACAACGTTGCTAACTACCGTCCGATCTGCAAGTTGAACATTCTGAGTAAGGTTCATGAACTTATAGTCCATGATTCACTTATGACTTCCATAAAAGGATATATTATTGAGGAACAGCATGGATTCTTTCCAAAGAGATCCCTAGAGACAAATTTAGTAATATATACAGAATATTTGACGAACGCAATGGACTGCCAGACTCAAGTGGACTCCGTGTACACCGATTTCAGTAAAGCATTCGACAAAATAAACCACAATATTTTGATATCCAAATTAACTGAAGTCGGTGTGCACGGGGACCTGCTTCGCTGGTTCGCCTCATACATCTATAATAGGACACAAATCGTTACAGTTAATGGACATCAATCGGCCCCATACATTGTAACATCGGGAGTACCCCAGGGCTCACATTTAGGACCTCTTCTTTTTATTATATATTTAAACGACATTAAGTCTTGCTTTCAATTCTGTAATTACATACTATATGCGGACGATCTCAAAATATTCTCTCAAGTAAATAGTATAACTGATTGTTCCCTTATCCAAAATGATTTGAACAGATTTTTTGACTTCTGTCAAATTAATAAACTCCATTTGAACTTAGATAAATGCTGCTTCATCACATTCACTCGAAACCACAAGATATTTTCATACGATTACCACTTTGGTAATAGTGCCCTTAAAGAGGTTAACGAAATAAAAGACCTAGGTGTTGTACTGGACAAAAAACTCTCGTTCTCAACGCATATTGACTACGTTGTATCTAAATGTAACAGAACATTAGGATTTATTCTTAGACATTGTAAAAACTTCACATCCATTCATGCCATGAAAACCTTATTCTACTCCTTTGTTCATAGTAAACTAAATTTTGCAAATATCATCTGGCATCCTCAATACTCTATATACAAAACTAGATTGGAGATCATACAAAATAAATTCTTAAGATATCTCGAATACAGAATTAGTGGGGAATACAATATAACAACGGGTACAGCCTTCCTAAGAAACAAATTTCGTATGCCCACACTAGAGGCTCGTCGAGAGCAATCCGACATAATATTTTTATTTAAAATTGTGAATGACTTGGTCGATGCCCCTGAAATTTTGTCAAATATACCTCTCAATGTTCCTTCTCGTTCTTTGAGAAATTACCGTCTCTTCTCTGAAAAGCTCTGTAAAACAAACTTAGGAAAAAACTCTCCCCTACATAGAATGGTAACACTTTACAACGATAAGTTCGATGATATTGATTTATTCAATCATACATTACATGTATTCAAATCTAAGATAAAAGAAAAATACTGAACTTTACAGTTGACATCATTAAAATATTTCATAGATTAGTATTAGTTTAAGCTAAAAATGTAATATATATATATATATATATATAAGTTACACTTCTGTACGCTCTATTGTATCCGTGGATAACACTTTGGGTTATGCCTGTTGTTATCCTATATGATTTCAATAAATAAATAAATAAATAAATAAATAAATAATACTAGAATGTTTCCAAGTCTTCTGGTTAACAAGAAAATTCATTAAAGAGGGAGAAACTAGAAGTCATTACCACAATAGTTCATAAAACGAACAAAAAAAAAGTAGATAACGAGAGGAAAACAACTACTTTCATGGCTATATATACCACGCAGAAAATTGAATTACATCCACCCGGTACTTATGCAACTATTCGAATAGACGAATACAGTTGCAAGGGTTCCTTTCCCAAATACTGAGTTGTGCTTGAATTGTTCAGTTCAGAGGTGTCCCCAGATGGCATTCATGATCGCTATCTGGTGCGAACCTGACCCAACGTAGACAGCGTTGTGTCCATTCCGCAGTGATCACCTCGTGGGTATCAAAAGTTGGGAAGTGTTCACGTTGAGTCAGGTTAGCACCGTATGGTGGTGATGAATTCCATCTGGGGACACCCCTACACTGATGGGAACCAAAGCTCGAAACCGGTCTGTAGGTAGTCAAGCGTTTCTGAACAATTTAGGTACAACACAGCATTTAGGAAAGAAACACTTGCAACTTTATTCATCTATCTATACGAACCGTTGAATAGATTTCCGGAAGATGTAATTCACTGTTCTGCAAGGCATATAGTCACGAAATCAGTTGGTTTTCTCTCGTGACCTACTATCTCCGTTTATTTTATGAACTATTGTGGTATTTGTGGTGATAACTCTGAGTTTCTTCCTCTTGGTGGCAATTTCATTCCACTATGAGAGTTTTGACATTTTTCCTAATCAGAAGAAATTTCCTAGTGAAAATTGAGAAAAAATATTGATCACGCCATTTCATTATTTCTTTCAAATATCGTTGTCTCAAAATCTGAAGGAAAATCACAGTCTCATTCACAACGGTAGATTATTTTTAACGAGATATCATCTAGGTGTTGGTAGAACAAATTGAATTGCTGAAGACGGTCAAAGCTGACAGAGAAGATCTAGAAGATGCCCTTGCAGACAAAGCTGATGCCTGTCAAATCAACAGAAAAGTGTCATTCGAACAGTTCGATCAAGCTTGCGGTGATATGTCGAAATCTCTAGAAGAAGCTTTGGCCAAACTTTCTCAACAGGTGAATTACCATAATATACGAAAATAGCAAATCGTTTTATTGACATTAAAAGTCACAATTTTTTTCATAAGAAAAATATGTCAGTGAAACAAAGCCATTTTTTATTTCAATGAAACATGATGCTTTTTCTGCAACTAAAACAACATATACATCACGTAAAATATAAGTGAAGTCAAGAGAGCTATCCTATCAGTTGTCAGCTTGCTCATTTTTGATTCCTATAGGAGTTAATCTTCATCTTCAACTACTAGACACTAAAATTGATGACTTTTGGGATAAGAATGGTATACTTTCCTGTTGGTTGCAGAAAAAAATAATGTTTTCATTCTGGGGGTTCTCCATCCAAAATATCTGAAAATTGAAAAATTCAACTAGATTTTATTGATTTTAGGAATTCTTATGGAACGAAGCATTGCAAAATATTCAGGGTGAGATAGGTGGTAAACTGGATAAGAACGAGTTGAATCCTCTGAGAGATTTCATCAATAGCAAATTGAAGGGCCTTCAAGAAAGATTCAAGACTTTGAACGCGATGAAAAAAGAGAACGAAGCTGCTGGAACTAAGAGCAAATATCTCAGGTACATCGTTTTCATCAAGACGAACTCAATTTTCTCCTAGATGCCTTGCAGGTTTTAGAAATGGTCATATCAGAACATTTCAACTATTCTCATATCTGATTTCTCGTGTCTCGTGAAATAAGTCAGGGAATATAATAATCATCTCAGAATAAAAGAGTTCTTGATAACAGAATGAAACAACTTCTGAGTCATTTAAAACCTCTACTAGCCAGCTCGATATCTAGGAGCCCCACTTTTAAATGTTCCCTCCTTAAAATTCAATATTCGAATAAGTCATTCATATGACTGTTATTTTGGGATATCTTGATGATATGTGAGTTTTGTTCACTATTTGTAATTTCAATTATACAACAGCCGATAATACTTCATGAATGATCTTATACCAGGAATTACCGTTTGATCATTCATGTCATTCCTACTAGAAAATTAATTATACTCTATATATTATTTGTATAAAATGAATCAATGAAGAAGAGAATGTAATGCAATAACTGAAATAAATGAATGAATAAATAATAAATATGGAGGTTCTGATACAAAAACTATCTCCAATCATTAGAGCTTTGCGAAGATGTCCTGAACTTGATAAAAAAATCATAAACATAGTACATCATTCTCATACAGGGTGGCCCACGGTCGATGGTACCTTAGACGTATACGGAAAACGGTACATTGGATAATCCTGAAAATTTGATTACTTCAATAAGCGTTTGTAATCTAACGATTCAAAATATTTTCAGCGAAGCATCGTTGCCACTTTTACCAAAAAGTAGTATCATCTTTGTAATTTCAAATAGAATACCCTGTATTTTATTACGTTTTTAGATTCTTCTCGAAGAGCTGATTTCATCGATGTATCACACTTGGGGTCTAGCAGGAATTGTTACAGAGAAATAGGGTGTTCAAAATCGAGATTTTTCAACTTTAGGATTTTTTTGTGTCGAAACTATTCATCATTGGTCAAAACGGCTCACATGTCCCTGTATTAACGTTTGATCAACTATCTACCGACATTTAATTGGAAAAAATACAGGATGGTCCAAGATTCAGAATTTTGATCACCCTGTATCTGTTCGAATTAAATGTCAGTAGATAATAAATCAAAAGTTAAAGATAGGGACATGTAAGCCGTTTTGATCGATAATGAATAGTTTCGACACAAAAATTTCCTGAAATTGAAAAATCTCGATTTTGAACACCCTATATCTCTGTAATAATTCATGCTAGACCCCAAGTGTGATACATCAATGAAATCAGCTCTTCGAGAAGAATCTAAAAACGTAATGAAATACAGGGTGTTCTATTTGAAATAACAAAGATGATGCTACTTTTTGGTAAAAGTGGCAACGCTGCTTCGCTGAAAATATTTTGAATCGTTAGATCACAAACGCTTATTGAAATTATCAAAATTTCAGGATAATCCAATGTACCGTTTTCCGTATACGTCTAAGGTACCATCGACCGTGGGCCACCCTGTATGACGCTGCCCTAGCTGATTTTAATGAATTACCATGTAATTTAAGAAGAATCCGGCGATAACCAATAGAATCAACCATAGTTATGATACACGAAACAAAATCAACAATGTAGGTACGACTTGAGAAGCATAAGCTTAGAATTTCAAAGAAACATTCTAGTTTTATTGGAACTAATATTAATAATGAAATGCCATCGAAATTAAAACGCCTAAATATCATAAATTTCAAAAAAGAAGATAACAGTTGGCTTATAGAAAATGTGAAAAAAAATCGATAATATTTTATAATCAACTCTATTATTGTATATCTCAATTTATTCTCACTTCTGAATTTATCTATGAACAATTTCAAAACAAAGTATGAAAATATATTACTCCTTGCCTAGTCATGATGACTTTCTTATGTCTATACACGATCTCTACAGTTGCTCAATTAATATGATGTAATCATGTTGTGATACTTGTTCCAACCTACTTTTCTATTTTTTTTTCTTCTTTTCTGTTCTATTCTATGTTCTTTTGTCGCTTACTCTTCTTAATTTCTTTCTTCTCTTCACTTCCCCTATTCCTCTTAAAAATTATCTTTATTTTTTTGTTTTTGATTTTAGGAACGTGAACTGTATATCTTGTGACAAAGATGTAGTCATGCGCAAAGAGATGGACCCCTCACTGTATCCTCAACCAAATGCTGTACCACCAAATAGAAGCATGGGACCCTACTTGGCCTATGAGCTAGACCAACTTCGAAAACAACAAAAATGGTAGCAATATACAATGATACCTAAATCATCACATACTAATTTATTGTATGTCTCTTTTATTTTAGTTTACCCACCAGCAAGAATATGAACGTGTTTGAGAATGCCCTGCAGTCCAACCGATCAGCTAAAAGGTATCTACTTAATTCCATTCATGCACGACCGGGTATAAAATGGCACTTTAGCGCCCGGCGTTTAGACAACTATGTTTCAGTTGTAATGGTTCATTCAATGTCAACGAAATGATATATGCCCGAAAGGCATGTAAAATCATTGTCGTTTATCGAACGCCTTCTGTACCAATCACTATCCTGAACAAAAAAAAAAACGAAAAATCGCACTTTCCTGTGCGGAAATTTGCCATCCGATAGCAATTCAATGGTAGATTTCAAAAACCGACCTGTGTTACTCCTCAGTCTGAGCCAAATCCACGGCATCCATCTGAAATGAAGACATTGAATATCATTAATTCATATCAGTGAACAGAATATTTGTTCATTTTCAAGAAAGGGTCTCTTTCCATGCTGAATTGGAACAATAAATATTTGGTTACTAAAAACAAAGAGTTTGTAATAATAAATATCGTCTGGTGTGAAGTTCATTCATAATTTTGGACGGGAATTATTGAAACCAAGATCAACAGGCAACGTTGGAATCAACATCTACGCATATTATAATGTTTAAAAATAATCCTAATTAACTTAGCAACGCCTCGAACGAATTTCAAAAATTAAACATATTTGTGTAGACGAGATAACGATAAATCAAAATATGTGATAAAAAAAGCTGCTTCAATTAAAAAATCGTCAATCTTGTAGCCACGTGTTTGAAAAACATCGTGTAGGGATCAAGATAATTTTGCTTCACAGACTCAACGATACTGTACTACATCCCCATAAAGATTTTCCCTATCTTCCATTGCAATGGAGCTACAGAGCTTTTCCACACTACGTGGACAACCGGTATATTACTTTTAAAAAGGCATGATTTCATTTGAAACATTCAATAAACATTCACAAACGTTCAACAGCAAACTTTATCTTCTGATGTCTTTCAGGCGATCATTTTGAGAAATGCCCTCCCTGTATACCCTGTATACCTGTATAAGCATGGCCATATCATATATTGGTCAAATAGTCTACCTCTCTGTCAAATTTTGTGCCTTTTTCAAAAAGTCCACAATACATATCGGAATATTCTAGCTTAACTGCTGCACTATATTGAATTACCTGTTATTGATGAAAACTTTATCGAGTTTTTTTGTGAACTTGGGATTGTCTAGAATTGCAATTATTCTCGAATTTTTCCATTCAACTTGTGTTCAACTCAACGATACAAAACTCATTTGATTCTACCAAAAATTACCCATACCTATATATTATCTCGACCAAGCACAAGACAACACTAAAAAATAATTCACAGATCAAAGAATTGAATATTCCTTTGAGCAATGGTAATTAATGCCAGTAATCTATCAAGGAACATCAGATATTTCGAAATCTTATGTTTTGTGTAGAGAAACATTGATGAGCATCATTATTCATCTTCCTAGGTTTGTCTGTTTCGTGAAATTCCAAGTAGGACATCCATAAAAGGAATTTGTCCAAGTATACCTAATTATTTTTCATGTGTGTTCTTTGTTTTTTCAGTCCTGATCACATTTGTAATCGTTACTGTGGAGGAAGTCATACAGTCACTACACCCCAACAGAGAGTGACCAGATTGGGACATTTCCTGGAACAATGGGGTCCTGAAATTTCACCGGTTAATGATGCACATGTTAGAGGAACCGATGGAAGGGTAATATGACGTATATACGGGGTGGGGTGTCCCTGAAAGGACTGTACAAAATCTCAGCACATAATATAATAATAATGATAATAATAAATCGTCTTTATTTATGTGATTCCATAATACAAAAAAAATATGAAGATTTGTACAAACATTTATACAAAGAAGAAAAACATTGTTCACTGTTCACTGTCCAGCAGGAGGCGAGATTTAGCCTAAGGCTACTTTAACATCTAACCTCTCACTGTCGAATTGGGAAGGTGAGTCTACATTACTTAGAGAGGAAAAAAAGAGGATGTGTACATAATATTCATATTGAAGGGCGTAACAATACTCATTGTGAAGAAAGTAGCTCATGTTTAATGAACTTTCGGAAGGAGAATGGACCAAGGATTTTAATGCGGTCTGGGATTGAATTGAACAATTTAATTGCATTATATGTGAAACTTCTTTGATAAATGGCGGTCGAATGATGAGGCATCATTAATGCATTGGGATGTCTTATATTAACTGAATGTATGCTGGATCTCGGAATTAACTGGTAGCGACTATCATCTGATTGATTCCTAAGAAGTTTATAGATGAATAAAGCTAAGTGAAGTCTCCAACGATTTTCCATAGTGAGCCAGTTAAGTTCATTTAGTTTTTGAGATATGTGATCATATTTACGTAACCCCCATATATAAACCGCATACAATAATTCTGTACCTTTTGAATTTTATACCTATAACTTCCATCAAGGCATGGACCATACGAAAAATCACAATAAACGAATTGGGACAAGACCAAGCTGTCACATAAAGTTTTGCGCAGTTTCAAATTCAACATTCAAATGTTTTGGTCAGAATGTGCTTAACGTGATTTTTAAATCTGAGGTCATCATCGAATACCAAACCTACATTTTTTGACAAGTGGACAATACTTAACGGCTTATTATCAATACTTATGTTAAAATTCGAGCTGATCTCATCATAATAATTTTTGGGAGAAAAAACAATAATTTTTGATTTAGAATAGTTCAATTTCAGATTATGAGCCCGACTTCTCTCAAATATTATGTTAAGGTCTTAATTTAACCATTTTTGGGCCTCCAAAATATTATCTTTAGGAAAGTTTATGAAGATTTGGGTGTCATCGGCATACGCCTGAATTTTACAATGTTCTATAGATTTCAGTATATCCGCCGTATATAAATAACGAAGAAAAGGGGACCCAAAATGCTGCCCTGTGGCACTCCTGCTGTCATGTTTACATAATTTGAGTGACTGTCATTCGATACTATTTTTGTTTTCTCTCTGCAAAGTAAGATGGTATTAATTCCAAAGAGTCAAATGAGAAATCATAGTATTTAAGCTTAGCAATCATGAGTTTATGGTTTATAGTATCGAATGCCTTCGAAAAGTCTAGAAGTGTTAATATGCTAGCACATCTTTTGTCCAAATTGGATGATATATCATCAAGAACTTGCGTTAGTGATGTTGTTGTTCAGGCGTTTTTGAAATCCAGACTGTCATGTCGGTATTATTTTATTATTTTCAACATGTTCAAGTATTTGTTTGTATAGAACTTTTTCGAAAAATTTCGAAAGGCAAGGTAAGATTCTGATAACACGAAGGTCTAAAAATTCTACTGGAATGGCGATTTTGGGTAAGGAATGCTCGAAGTCATCTCCACAAATTTGTGGAGATGACTTCGAGCATTCCTTCCTTCCTGTGAGATATTTCACTCCACTTTGAGCAATATGGACTCCTACCAAAGATGCCATAATTGATGAGATGTGTGATGAATGGATCGATGAATGGGCTACAGTATCTAAGCATTGTAACACAGATGTCATCAATTCCATATGCTTTCGTTTTAATGTCAAACAGAAAATCGTGCACCTCATTAGTTGTTGTGAGTTTGAATTCGAATTCGAACATACTTCTGGGGTCAAAATTAGCCAATTTAAGGCAACTTACCTTATCCTGGAATTGCTGTATCCGAAATACAGGGTAGTAAAGTTGAAGGATAAAATTCGAATTCACGATATAATGATATACAGTGTGGTTCCAGAACATTGGGATCGGCTTTACAATAACATTTTTGAACGTATTACTTCAAAAATTGATATGAAGGGGTTTGATGGGATGCGAAACACGAATACGGACACCTTTTCACTGTGCCCATTAGAAGGCTTGGACTTCTAATGGTTTAGTATGGCCATAACTTTTTTCTCAGTGTATTTTGTGTATATTTCGATGTTTAGTGTTCGATGCAAAAATGCTTGCTGTTATCATCGTGGATGTAATTTATTGGTGAATTAGCAGTACAAAACTGGATGTTTCAAGATACTTTCTTGTCTATTTTTATTTATTATCTTTATCACCCTGTATCTTGAAAAGGGAGCGATTTAAGACTGAGGTAACTTGCTTCGAATCGGCTCATTTTGACCTTAGGGATATGTGCTGAGATTTTGAACAGACATTTTAGAGACACCCTGAATGTTTTGATACCGATGAAAGCATTTGATTATTTGTCACATGTAGTCACCTCTCGATATCTTCGAATTATTATTTATTCTTTTTGAGGAATGTTTCTCGTTATTTGGGTAATTTTAATTTTTTTCAGATGTACAAAGCTAGAGACGATGAAGGTCTGAAGCAATTAGCATCTGAGAGACCTCCAACACCCCACAATGATAACAAGCCATCCATATTCGTCAATTCAACGAAAAAAATGTCAGTTGAACAGACATTATCAGCACTTCCGGAGCAAGGTACCTATAATTAAACATTTTCAATTTAGTCCCAATTTGGAGATTTGTTGTTCAGATATATGAACACTAGAGTCACACGATGAGAGTATCACAAAAGCTTCCATAAATAGTATATTGTTTAACAAGCACGGAATGATAGTGATTTCCTATGAGAATGAAGGTTGCAGCATGAGCCATAGGCGAATACTGCAATCATTCGAGTTTTGGAAATTATCATTTTGTGCAAGTAATATACTATATGTTTCTACGGCTATAATAGATAACCGGCATTTCCGATTTCTTTGTCTTATAGCCATCTGATTTGCTGTCAAGTAATGCTCATCTATTAGACAGAGCTGTCACTGTTCCAAATTTGACATTCCCAACCTTTTACAGACATCCTGTTTATTTCAAATTGTGATGAATCATGAATAATCAAATTTCATGGAATCAAGATTGAAATGAGGAAAGAGAAAATGGGTTGTTTTGTAAAAATATCATCAAATTAATTATTTTTCCATTTTCTTGAACCAAGTTTTTCACCTGTTTTTCTTTGAAGTGATGATATCTATTCTATCTAGACATTTCAATCTTAATGTATCTATTTGAAATTTTAGATCTCATGAAACTAGAATGTTCATTCCAAAATGTCGAGTCGTACATTGTTTATAGTTATTTTTTTCTTGTATCATAACTATGATTAATTTAAATCTGTCTGTAGGTTGATCGAGGAGGTATTACATTCATTCATTATTTGGGATTTTCTCCTCGTTTCCACATAATGAAAATACGAGTTTTATTTCAATATATGTGTAGTAGGACAAATCTGATGATTTGCCCCGAAATGTCACTGCATTCAACCAATTTTTCTATCAGGGAGCCATGAAGAAGAATCAAATAGCTTGTCACTTACAACATCAGTATGTCACTGAGAAGTGCCAAACTATAAAAACAGAATTTTCGAAGGAAAATATTTTGCATTTTTATGTTGAGAACGGGAGAAGATTCGTTCCCGAAAAGTCGAAAGAAAAGTAAAAATTCGATATTTTCTCCATATTTCTTTTTTTCAAACTCTTTCCCAAACAAAGTGTTTCTGTGACAAGCTATTGATCATTCTAGAACACGTGATTTTGACATGGTTTCTTGAGGGGCACACAAACTATCTGTTTGATGAGCATAGCCCTGGCCTTCCTGCCACATCCACAATATAATAACAGTTTCACCAAACAAAATTATGAAATTCTTTCTGGTTCCAAGTCGGATTCAAAGGAAAACGATTCCACAAATTCTGGTTTTATATGACAAATCTTGACAAAACAGAATGTTTGCCCCTCAGCAATCTGTCAAATGACGTAATTCTGGAATGATTAATTGGATTCTCCTTTTAGGCTGATAAAAACATTGTTGAACGCAGTGACATTTTGGGACGAATCATCTGATCTGTTCTTCTACACATATATTGAAATGATACTCATTTTTTCATTTTGTAGAAACGAAGAGAGAAAATTGATTTCAAATATAGTATAATAAACAATTATACATATATAATATTTTTTTATTCTCTAGAAATAATGACGGTGATGGTTAATATATCAAACGATTCACGAAATATTAGATTCGAGACAAATTTGAGAATACATATAGCAAAGGTCTTAGATTAGTTGCATACAAATCACCTTCTCCAATTATTTTATACGACAATAATTCACCTTGTAATAAGAGACTGATAGAACATGATATAAATAATTTGTTATTTCAGGCAAGAAATCAGTAGTGGACCAGTCAATATCAAAACACACGTAAGAACTATTCCATTCCATTGTTATTTCATAATGACATTCTGACAAATACTTTTATAATAGCTGCAAAGTGCCTTCACCATTTTATAGAGTAGATTACTGATTTTGGTGAATGCGCGTCGCCAAACCATTCCAAGTTTTTGGTGGATTCACACAGGGCCGGATTAAGACCACATTACAAACATTAGAAAATGGAAAATATGATTCTTCTCGGATTGTTTTCTTATTTCACTATCGACACTTCTCAGTGAGAGATGTTGATGCAAACAAATGAGCTGCAGGATGTTCTCATTAATTTATCTTCAATTTATTATCTTCATCAAATTCGAGAAGAACATTATTTTCCATTTTTAATGTTAAAAATTGGAACAGATTCATTTCCAAAACGTCAAAAGCTAAGTAAAATTCGATATTTTTTCGTGTACCTATCCATATTCCTCTTCTTCGAACATTTTTCATAACAAGGTGTAACTGACAAACGATTGAATTTTTTCTCCCGGCGCTCTAATGAAAACATTTCCAAAGGTAATGACATTTTGTGGTTAATCACCTGATAAAATGAAAAAAATTACAAGCAAGAGATTTCATTTTTGAAAACTCTAAACTAGCACAAATGAAAAATATGTATACAGGGTGTTAACAAATAAGTGTCACAACGGGAAACTGTAGATTCCTCTTAGTAAAAGAAACATTCCTTTCCTATTCAGTATTTTTTTCCATGCTTCCGTTTTCAAGATACAGGTCGTCAAAAAATCAAAAATGTTCAGTTTAATCAAAAACACTTTACAACATTCAATAAACTTGACAATTGGAAAACCAGCATTGAGACCCAGCATACTCAAAAACCTGCCATTTGATTGAACATATTATTAGACAGTTCTGAGGTGTTTATTTCCAGACGATTTTGGGAGATACCATCAGGATTTTGTATGATCTAATTCATAAAGAACCATTTTTCGCAGAAAATGTTCACTTTAGAGCATTGAGACAAGAAGACGTTTTTTGTGTGAAAGGTATTGGCGCTTCAGAATCTACATTGAACATTTTACAATTTCTCCAGTGGCATAAATGTTTGGGGGGTTGCACCCTTACGAGGCGTTGAATTCTCCTCCACTGACATGTCCAAGGAAATTGATCAAGAGCCCTAAAAGTAGTCATTATTGATGATGAAGTGTGTACGAAGGCTTCGTAGCTCAAACGGTTCCTAAGATAGTAGCAAAAAACAGTTCTTTTTGTAATATTTTGACGCCCTGTATCTTGAAAACGGAAGCCCGGAAAAAAATTTCGAAAGGGAAAATAATGTTCATGTGGAATCTAGAGTGTTTCGTTGTGACACTCATTTGTTAACATCCTGTATAACGGATAAAAAAACATTATTGAGCTCGCCCTTTCTGGCCTTGAGCGCTATAAATGTCTAAACAAGACTATTATAAGCAAATCATGTTTGATGTTTAAAAGGGAAATCGATCTCAGAATTTAGTTACAAATCATGATCATTATAATCGTCAAAGGAATAAAATTCTTGATCACTGAGAAATTCTCTTTTTGCTTGATATTTATTGGCATCATTTTCGCTCCCGAAAACTGAATTTGCCCCTGGTCAGTTGCCCCTCGTGCCATGTGGTTAATCTTGTCCTGATTCACATTTTACCAAGGACAGTATCAATGAGAAAAAACAGTTGCATTGCTATACCGGGTGAATTTTCACATAAATTATGTCCTGAAAGATTGAGACACTGGTGTTAGTCTACTAGTGAATGATGGTTATTTTTTATAATAGATCTTAAACATACCATTGAGAAAATGATATTATTCTTCACTACTGATTAATGATGCAATTATCTTCCTACTATGTAACAATAGTCATCAAGAAAACAAATCTGTTCAAAGAGTTTGAATCTATTCAAAGTATTAAAAATAATCAAGTCTCTAGTTCATGCGGAATGTGTCTTTTTCGTCACTACAATATTGCGTGGGAAAATATCACTTTCCGTACTAATTAGGAAATCAACTATGACCATTTTTTTCTTTGTGTAGAACCAATGCAGCTGTGAATCCTGCTTCTGATTCTCTTTAGTTAGAGTATATGGATGTCATCACTGGATCTGCGGGAAAGCAATGGATTACCACCAGAAGTTATAATTCATACCCACTCACTTGTATAATACCTACAACAAAGAAATGGTCCACATAAAACGACAAAATAAAAAAAATAGTACCTATATGCCTTTTTTTTCTGATGTATGACAAATTGATATTCGTCATACAGGACGTGGACAAAAATTCTAAATTTAGAAAACCTAATCAGGAATCTGCGATTGAAGGTCCATCGTTATTCAAGTTTGAACCTCTCGATGAAAGCATTGAAAAGGAATATTCTCAGATAAATTATGAACATAATAAAATTAAAAAAACGGATTTAGATTCAAAGAAATACATTGAGAATCCGCATTCTCTATGTGATAAAAATAGCAATTCTTTCTCGGTTTATTCAACAGAAAACAACTTCTTTCTTGGCTATTTGCCACGACGAACATTGAATAATTATATCTATTAAACACACACGATAAGAATTTAAAAACTAAATCGTCTAAATTTGGGAATTTGCATTCTCCTTCAAATGAAAATTTGTATTTGCACATAACATCATCCTGAATATTCAACAGAAAACAACTACTTTCCTGGCCATTTGCCACGTCGAACATTGAATTATATCTGTTGAACATTCAAAAAGAGAGCATGACAAAGGACCCCGCACTTTTAGTAGGTACGTAAAATGGTTCTCGGTGAAATTTTCTGAATTTTCAGTATGTTGTAGAATTCGATAAACTGATTGAACCTGCAGAATCGTAAAGTTCTTTGATGAACAGATTCTGAGATACAGGGCGTTGAATCGGTATTTTTCATTTAATTATTTTCTCGAAATTCAAAGATGCCAAGTACAATTTTCTTCGCTCATATCAATAACGAACCTCCATATTACTCAACATAATTCAGATGGTTCAGATGATGTAATTGTTTACAGAGTGAAACATATAAACATTTCAGTGATGTCAGAAAATTCGATGTAATAATGAAATATCGAAAAAATAATTTAGACATGCAATATACTATTCTCATTCCATCATGAATCACAATTCATACATTTCATACAGGGTGATTTGAAAAATTGGTGACACCTAAGACCGATTTATTCATACACATCCTGTATATTCGAGTGAATTGTTAACCTCCCAAGATAGCTCTGCCAAAATGAAAAACGAACAATACCTAGGAGATGGGAGAATTATTCGGTCTTTTACGCTTCCATTTCCAATAGGGAGAGTTGAATCCTGGAATCGAAATTCGCCTAACTATCTGTACATTATATTAATATTATTAAATTCATATATCTGCTATTGTTATTGAATTTCTAATGTTCACCCTGTATATGAATACTAAACTTATTTTCATCTCCAGATTCTCACGTTTCACTATTTGTGAAAAATATCGGCCACTATGCGAATGTAAGTGAACACGTCTCTTCAACTCTTCATGCAAATGGTAAGTTCCTGAATTAATAACTATGACACCCGTAATGATAGAAAACTGAATTTTCAAGACAGCGTTGAGGAGCGAATGATGAATATATTAAAAAATAATTAGGGAATTTCACCGAGTTAATCATGAATAACAGGGTGATTTCAAAAAACACGATTTTTTTTCATTTTCATCATCAAAAATCTTCATGATCACCCTATATATCTCAACGAAATCATGTGCATACGGTATCAGCTATCTTGGTAGGTTAACAATTCACTCGAATATACAGGATGTGTATGAATAAATCGGTCTTAGGTGTCACCAATTTTTCAAATCACCCTGTATGAAATGTATGAATTGTGATTTATGATGGAATGAGAATAGTATATTGCATGCCTAAATTATTTTTTCGATATTTCATTATTACATCGAATTTTCAGACATCACTGAAATGTTTATATGTTTCACTCTGTAAACAATTACATCATCTGAACCATTTGAATTATGTTGAGTAATATGGAGGTTCGTTATCGATATGAGCGAAGAAAATTGTACTTGGCATCTTTGAATTTCGAGAAAATAATTAAATGAAAAATACCGATTTGTAACTTCAACGCCCTGTATCTCAGAATCTGTTCATCAAAGAACTTTACGATTCTGCAGGTTCAATCAGTTCATCGAATCATACAACATACTGAAAATTCAGAAAATTTCACCGAGAACCATTTTACGTACTAAAAGTGCGGGGTCCTTTGAAATTTCAAAGGATTTTAATTTTTCATGCTCACTTTTTGGATGTTCAACAGATATAATTCAATGTGCGACGTGGCAAATAGCCAGAAAAGTGAATTTCCCAATACTTATCATGTGTGTTCAATAGATATAATACAATGCTCGTCGTGGCATATATTGGAAACCGTCGACGGATTTTCAAAAACAAAATTTTCATAATTTAGTACTCAACGAGCTCTATTAAAAAATGTGGACAAATCTGGAATATTCAGATTTTCATGGCCTACTTTTGTTTGTTGAAGGGGTCATAATTTCAAAAACGACTATCAGGCAATTTTTTGTCGAAACAGTGACTAGCCCATTCGATTCAGGCATACCTTAAATACCCCTATACGAAATTTGATCGCAAAATCTCATATAGGGTGTTAGTTATTCAATGGCAAATTTTGATATTTTCGATTTTTTGATTCACCCTGTATCAAAATCAGAGGAATCGATATAACAGGTGAAGTAGTCTTTCAATGTTAAAACACATTGAATTTTCGGATATGAAGTATCATCGTTGTAACTTCTACAGGGAGATCTTTCTAGTTCAACCAAAAATTGATAAATTTAAAGTTGAGGTCCACCATTTTGAAAACTCGAGTAAACCGTTTTTCACACACTTCACCAAACAGTAGCTTTGAAAATTGTCTCGATTAATAAAGAAATATTGAATATAACACAAATAGAATGACAGACAAACACTCCAGAAACTGCAAGGATATTTACTGATACTTAATGTGATCATAAAAATATAGGTACCGATTTTGGCAAAATGAAAAAGAAAATTTGAGTTGACAATGGAAAGTGTATAGAGAATATTTCTTCGAATTAGTTACCATTATTTATATTTCCAGGAAAAAAAGATATACATAGATCATAAAAACAATGTCAACTTCAATCTTATCAACTTTTGGTTGACCAAGAGATATCTTCCTGTAGAAGTTACAACGATGAAACTTCGTATTTTAGTATTCCATGTGTTCCTCTATCGAATGACTACTTCATCGGTTATATTAACAGGTTGAGTGAAACCATGTATTGAAAAATATCGGTTCCAGAGATATTGATATTTACTTTCATTTTCGATGTGCCGGAATTTTTGGAAGGTTGAGAATGGCGCTTAATTTTTGGTGACCACATTGGTCTCACACGGCCGCTAATTCGACCATTTTGTTCACGTGGATACGCGAGACCAACGTGTGACTACGCTATGCGCATGTCTGCATGTTGAGAATTGTAGCGGGGGACCGGCAGACCGGCTCAGCTTGTCTCGAATGTCTCGTGATGTTGCAAGAGTCACATCATGTCCTGGTACGAGAAAGAACAGAAGCAATTGACGAAGTTATGCCAGAAGGTGTTGTCCGATGAAGACGAAAACTGAAGCAATCAAGATGGAGAATCACTGTTTGGGGACGTGTACGTGTATCTTTCTGATGAATATCAATGTGATTCATCAGTAGATTCTTCGTCATCGTTCAAGAATGCATTTCCCAAACAACCAAGAAAACGTCCCAAGATCAAAAAGAGAGACGGTGCTAAAAAAACTCAAACATTCAGACATGATATACCGTCGACTAGTGCAGTTTCTAACAGTAGGTATGTTGTTCGTTCAAAGAATGATATTTATTTCATTTTCAGAATATTCTGTATGATTTTGTTACATGTTCATGATGTATAAATGGAAAAAACTAATAAAATTACCTATATATTTGCGTGAGAAAAAAAAAGATTACTAACATTTCCTAGCCACGTACAACCAATTTGGTCTCTCATATCCACAGGCCAAAATATTTCTCTGGACCACCAGGCCGCGCTCTTTCGAACGCCATTTAGTTCACAATGCTGAGAGAGATACCGCTGTGGAGATATGCATCCAAATCAGTTGTGGGTATATGCGAGACCATATTGGTCTCACGCGGCCACAAAGTCAGAAAAATGTGCGAGACCATGTTGGACTCTCACGGCACTCAACCTGTTAACTCTTTAGATTTTGATACAGGGTGAATCGGAAAATCAAAAATATCAAAATTCGCCTCTGTATAACTAACACCCTATATGAGATTTTGCGTTCGAATTGCGTATGGGGTTATATCAGCTGTGAATGAATCGAATAGGCTTGTCACATAAAAATTTGCCTAATAGTCGTTTATGAAATTATGACCACTTCAACAAACAAAAGTAGGCCATGAAAATAGAGCTCGTTGAGTACTATATTATGAAATTTTTGTTTTTGTAATTCGGTCGACGGGTTCTAAATAAGAAGGGCGTTGCGGGTTGAAATCGCACACACTGTAGACAGGAAAGTAGTTGATTTCTGTTGAATAAACCGAGAAAGATATAGAGAATGCGAATTCTCAATGAATTTCTTTATTTTATATATATGTATATCAATGTTTTCATTTTTTCATTCTTTCATGTTCATAAATTATATAAGAATATTCCTTTTCAATACCTATTTGTATGTTAAATTCTTTTTGTTGTTCAATGGAGGGTCACTTCGCATATGATTTCAAAATAATTGAAACACTTATTCCTAATGTTGTACACTTTATTTTATACAGATAATTTTTCTCTAAATACATTTTGTGCAATACAAATAGTTACATTATAAAATATACAACTGATGGTTATAATGGGTAGCAAATTTGGAGCATCTAATTTCATTTGTTTTCACAGTTTCAACTTTGCAGAGAATTCGGCAAATATGCAATGACAAAATAATCATGTACAATATTTAATCATCCCTATGTTACAGTAGATCGAACAAATCGTCAGGATTAAAGACATTTCATGCAATGATTTCGATGAATCATGAATTATTGAATTTTTCAATCAACCCAATCCATATATGAGTTTCTGAAAAATGAAATATGAGGGAAGAATACTTTTCTCGTGCGCCATTTTCCTATTCTA